ACCCCTTCACCTGGGCCTGACCCCTTCACCTGGGTCTGACCCCTTCACCTGGGCCTGAACCCTTCACCTGGGCCTGACCCCTTCACCTGGTCTGACCCCTTCGCCTGGGTCTGACCCCTTCGCCTGGGTCTGACCCCATCACCTGGGTCTGACCCCTTCGCCTGGGTCTGACCCCTTCACCTGGTCTGACCCCTTCGCCTGGGTCTAACCCCTTCACCTGGGTCTGACCCCATCACCTGGGCCTGACCCCTTCACCTGGGTCTGACCCCTTCGCCTGGGCCTGACCCCTTCACCTGGGTCTAACCCCTTCACCTGGGTCTGACCCCTTCACCTGGGTCTAACCCCTTCGCCTGGGTCTGACCCCTTCGCCTGGGCCTGACCCCATCACCTGGGCCTGACCCCATCACCTGGGTCTGACCCCTTCACCTGGGTCTGACCCCTTCACCTGGGTCTGACCCCTTCACCTGGGTCTGACCCCTTTGCCTGGGTCTGACCCCTTCACCTGGGTCTGACCCCTTCACCTGGGCCTGACCCCTTCACCTGGGTCTAACCCCTTCGCCTGGGTCTGACCCCTTCACCTGGGTCTGACCCCTTCCCTGTAACCACTTCTTGATGTTCCCAGTTTCCAGCCTGGAATTGAGCATCGTTTTCATTTATAGCTTGAGCTTGAAGCACAAGCATGAGGCTGGGATGCAGAAAGCTGAGCTCAATCTGCTGTTAGACACCCAAAACTGAACTCAATCTGCTGTTAGACACCCAAAATTGCACTTCAACCTCAAGTTAGACCCCCAAAGCTGAGCTCAATCTGCTGTTACACAGGAAAGCTGAGCTCAGACTGCTGTTAAAACACCCAAAACTAAACTCAATCTGGTGTCAAACACCCCAATCTGAAGTCAATCTGCTGTTAGACACCCAAAACTGAGCTCAATCTGCTGTTACACAAGAAAGCTGAGATCAAACTGCTGTTAAGACACCCAAAGCTAAACTCAGTCTGGTGTCAAACACCCAATGAACTCAATCTGCTGTTAGACACCCAAAACTGCACTTCAACCTCAACTTAGACACCCAAAGCTGAGCTCAATCTGCTGTTAGACACCCAAAACTGAGCTCAATCTGCTGTTAAGACACCCAAAGCTGAGCTCAATCTGCTGTTAGACACCCAAAACTGAGCTCAATCTGCTGTTAGACACCCAAAGCTGAGCTCAATCTGCTGTAGACACCCAAAGCTGAGCTCAACCTGGTGTTAGACAAGAAAGCTGAGCTCAATCTGCTGTTAGACACCCAAAGCTGAGCTCAATCTGCTGTAAACACCCAAAGCTGAGCTCAACCTGAAGTTAAGACACTCAAAGCTGAACATAACCTGCTGTCCGACATGCCAGGCTGAGCTGCCTGGCCCCCAGAGGGAGGTCAGAAAAGCAGGAGCAGCTCAGAGCAGAATTCCTTACATCAGCCCGTGGACGGACTGAGGCTCAAGTGCTGCTCCTGTTTCTCTCCAGGAAAGCCAGAGGTTGGGCTGTTTTGGAGCCAGACACCCCGTCCAGAGAAGTAAACCCCAGCTTCCATTAAAAATACGTAAAAATATGTAAAAAACTAGGTACGGGGCCTCCCTGCCGACACTCCCGGAATTTTAAAACCGATGGGGGTAGATTTGTAAGTATTTATCCCGCTATTTGCAGCAGATTTAGGGTTAATGCCGTAAATAAATCAAGTTGGGGGTAGAAAATCACCCCCCAATTACCCAAGGATGGGGTGAATGCTGTCACAGACGATCCATTTCCCTAAACCCGCTGCCGTGCCCGCCGGGTTTAGGCAAAGTCTGAACAGCCTGAACGCTGTGGTGAGGCCCCGGGGACAGAGCCAGAGCTCCAACATCTTGCTCGTTATTTCCTTCTTTCTTAATTTCACCTCATTGTGGCTAAATGATGGCAAACAGCTCCTTTCTGCCTCGGGTTAAACACCAAAATCCTGCCTCTCCTTTGAGGCAGCAGCTGCCAAGCGGTGCAGCCCCGGCTCTTGGTGTCTTTACCTCTTTGTTTAAAACCTACAGCTGCCCCACAGCAAAAAAAAAAAAAAAAAAAAAAAGGGAGAAGGAGGAAGTATTTATGGATTTAAGGGTTTGAGAGCCAACAGAGAGACTCCACAGGGGGGTTGTGTTTTGCCTCTCTCCCACCCTCGGCGCGTTCAGCGCAGCCACGCGGAAAAGCGTCGGCCCCTGAAAGCCCGAAGTTAAACTCGTGGTTGGGATTTGACCCTGAGCAAAGGCCTCCGGAGGCCGGGGCCTTGCTGATGTTACTCCTGAGGACTCCGGGGTTGAATTCATTAGCAAAGAGGGAATTAAAAACCTCCAAGTGCTGGGGGGTGAAACAGAAGGACGCCGGGCTGGAGCAGGGTGGGGGCTGACCTGGAGGTACTGCTGTTGCTGTTGCTTTTCTTGGCCTTCTTGGGTGGCGGCTCCTTGACTTTGCTTTTCTTGGTGTCTTCCAGCTCTTCTTTCTTTTTGTGCTTCTCTTTCTTCTTCTCCTTCTTGTCTTTTTCTTTTTTCTTTGGTTTGTTCTGCTGCGGCTGGGACAGGGCTGCAAGCTGTTCATGCACTGCTTTAAGCTGAGAGGCAGACACACACACACACACAAAGATCAAGATATTTTTGCCCAGCACCTCCTCCTTTTCCATATTAATTAACATTTTTTCTCTACTGCCTAACGCTTTCTTATCTTTTACTACTAATTCAATCAGTTCCTCCAGCTTTTCACCCCGCTGACTCTTGTATATGAAAGCATTGACAGCTGCAAGAGGAAGGAGACAAACTCTTCTGGGGGGTTTCTCCCCACCAAGGCAGAAGTGAGGTGGTGGCTCCGTTTGGGCAGCTCAGGGGGATCCTGCCTGCTCAAGGATGTCCTGTCTGCTCAGGGATGTCCTGCCTGCTCAGGGATGTCCTGTCTGCTCGGGGATGTCCTGTCTGCTCAGAGATGTCCTGCCTGCTCAGGGATGTCCTGTCTGCTCGGGGATGTCCTGTCTGCTCGGGGATGTCCTGTCTGCTCGGGGATGTCCTGTCTGCTCGGGGATGTCCTGCCTGCTCAGGGATGTCCTGCCTGCTCGGGGATGTCCTGTCTGCTCAGGGATGTCCTGCCTGCTCGGGGATGTCCTGCCTGCTCAGGGATGTCCTGCCTGCTCGGGGATGTCCTGCCTGCTCAGGAGGCACCACTCAAGCACAGGCAGCAAACTCCTGCCATTCACGACCCACCTCACGTGTCCTAACAAGGCCCATCCTGAAAAGCCCCAATTCCTTCACACTTTAAATCTAAAGATTTTGGAGCGCTCTGCAGCTGCTGGTCACTATTGTACAACCACAAAAGTCTACGGCTTTGAGCCCAGTCCCCGAAGCTGGATTAAAAGGAGATGTTGGAGACTGCGGGGCCATCCCGAGGGGGGAGTACCTGCTCCTGCAGCTCCGCTAACCGCTGGGCTCGCTCCTCCTCGGAGTCATCCGAGGAGCTGTCGCTGTCGGAGGAGCTGTCGCTGCTGCTGTCGCTGGACGAAGGGGGAGCCACCTTGGTGGGAGGGGGCACCACCACGGGAGAAGAAGCTGGTATCACAGGTTCTTCTGGCTCATCCGGCATCTTGGCGAAGCGCATCTCAAACACGTCCTGAAAATCCAAGGAAAAAGAATGTGAGGTGTGGGTAAAGCTGGGTATGACAAGAGTGGTTGTGCTCTCCAGGGTGTTCCCGATGAACCTGGGGTCTCTACTCAAGCAACCAACACACCCGCTGCCTGTCCCAGTCAAGATAATTTCCTGAAAGCTTCAAATCCACCTGGAATTCTGACTCCAAGCTGGTTCTGGGGGATAAGAATTTACCAGCAAGAATCACAGAATTGTAGAATACCAGGTTGGAAGGAACCCCAAGGATCATCTCCAAGCTTTCTTGGCAAAAAGAAGGACAGGACTCATTTAAAACCACATCATCCAGGTTCTTCAGATCTTCCACGTCTTCCGCAATGGATTCGTGGAGAGCTCGGGCTGGGAATTGCAGCCGCAGCCCCGTGGTTCCAATCCCCTTTGCTCTTCAACCCATGTCCCCTGAAAACCACCTCGAGTCAACCCAAACGCTTGTGCAGGGACATCTCCCGTTATCCTCGAGAGCGAGGGATGCGAAGCCAGTTTAATTCCAGTCATCCCATGGAGGTGAAAGTCTTTTTTTCCTCCTACAGCCTGAGAGGAAAATCCATTTTTATTTAAACGTAAGACAAGGCAGAGAAGGGGGAACAGCCTGCTTGTGCCTAGAGCCTGGTTGTATTTCTTGGTGCCAGCTGACTTCAGATGAAGGAAGAGTTTTGAGGGGGTGTTTTCTAGTTTCCCAGAAAAGGAACGAGTGACTCTTGCACCCAAAAAGATTTTTTTTCCCCAAAAAGTGCCACCTTGTGAAGACTGAAGCACTAGCGGGCAGAAATCCTGTTTTCTGGCATCTTGTAAAAGGCAAGTGAGCCCTGAAAATGGGCTCAATTCTCCTGCTTTTAGGTGTTTAGGAGTCAAGTACTTATTTCTGAGCTTAGCAACTCGCCTCGGGGCTCCTTCTGGAGACCATAAAGAGCCCAGCAGCTCTCAGACGACTCAAGTGATGGTGGGAAGGACCACCTGAAGGTGGCACAAGTGTCTGTGTCCACCTCTTCAATACTGAGTCATGAAAAAAACATAAGATAATTTCTCCTCCTGCCTGAAGATTCCACTTTCAGAATATAGTTACTATTTATTTTTCACATTTTCCACAATCCTGGGTGCACAGCTCTGACCGTAACAAGCCTGAGCCTTATTTCTAAAACCCTACTGGCCGTAAACAGGAACGCTGAGCACGCTCATATGGATTTATACATCCAAACTTAGCCAAAATCCTTCAGCAAGCCGAATGCCTCGTGATGGCACATCACACCGATTTAATTCACTACCCGAGCCCAGGGGCGACGTTTCCCTTCCTGAAGGCTTCCAGCCCTTCCAGTTCTGGCTCATCCTTGTGATTTTAAGGAGATGTTGGGCTCTCCTCTACCTCCACATACGTTATTTTTCCACTTCTTAAACATGACTGCGTTTCTCCATCCTCACTCTACTCGTGCCTTTATTCATTTTTTTTTTTCAGCAGCGAGGGTTTTTCCCGGCGCTGTAGCTGTTGCTTTGCTGCTTCCATCTGCTGGCAGAAATGCCACTGGCTTCATTTACGTGCTCAGGCTCAAATTTCAGGGGAAGGAGCAGAAAACACTGGAGGAAAAGGAGAGATTTCTAAGCTCCGTGTGGGATGAGGGAGGCACACACATACAGTTGTTACTGATTCACTCCACTTAATGGCTGTTTACAACCTAATTAACGTTCTCCACAAACCAGAAAGTCCAGTCCTTGATTACCACCAGCAGGCAACGCTACACTGCCATATATACTCAATTTTTAAATTCTCCAGGGTCAGAAATTAAACCTTCCTGGGGTTTTTTTATACCTATTTAGTCTTTTAATTACCAGGAAGGGTTTTTTAAAGTTCCTTTGTGTAAAGTTCAAGAGCAATTCATCAGTTCAGAACCAGCCAGATTATGAAAAGCCCTCGGTGGCCGAAGGATCCCAAAGAATCCACCCAGGAATGGATGGAAGAGAAAACCCTGTGAGTAGATAATGAGCTAATTAATGCCTGATTAATCAGGGATTCGTACTGCAACTGTGCTGTACATCGCTGGTAGCGCCGAGCCGTCCTCGCTTGGGCAAACATAAACCATAAACCTCTTCCGTGAGCTGGCATTGACCCTGGAAAGCCAAGAAATCATCTTCTGATGACGAAAAGGTAACAAAAAGCAGAAACCCGAGTTATTTCAGAGATTGATGTTCCCAGGATGGAGGGAGAATCCAGCAGGCAGCGAGCGGGGCTGTCTATTGAGCAAGATGCCGCGTTTATTGTTTACGGGGAACTCAAGCCCAAACTTGAATCCTCAGCCTTGTTTCCAAACCTCAGCCACGCTCCAGAAACCTCCTTTGCTTTAAATATTATTTCTGAAATCAGTTTTCTAGGCACGAGAAAAGCAAAGGGAGAGGGTGCCACCTCCACTGCACCCCCGCGACGGGGCTGCTCTGATATTTAACGTCCATTTTCTGGTGACTGTTCTATTCAAAAAGCCCTTTTTTCATCTTGATGTCAGAAATAAAAGTTTCCCGAGCGGTTGTGCTGCACAGGGACGTGTTCCCAAACCCGTCCACGGGATCCATGCGGGTGAAATCCTGATTTCATACAGCCCTCGGTCCAGACGGCATCACCTGGCAATGCCCATCGCTGAGGATTTTCCTCCATAAAATGGGGTGAAAGAAAAGAAAATCACAATTTTCCAGGGAACTATCCGGTGCTTGGCAGCCTGCGCTAAGTGTGACTGGAATTTCAGATCAGATAAACGACCTTTCATTGGAAAATGCTCCGAGATGTCGCTTAAAGAGGCTGCGAAGTTCTTCATTAAGACCAAAACAAGAAGGAAAGAGGTTGAGCACTGAGTTTTCCAGGCATCTGCTCACCATAAAATCCAGGAAAAAACATTAATAAGGCGACGAATTCTAATAAATCCATGCTAAGAGCAAGCCGAAACCCACATTTACTCAGCATAAATTCGTCTCAAATTAAACCAGCCCAAACCTGAGCTGGGCTTTTATAAAAGCACCACGAAAAAATACTGTGGACAAAAAAAAAAAAAAACCCAAAAAACCAAAACCCAAGGGCACATCCTGGAGGGTGTCGGGTTTGTCACCACTTCGTTTTCTTGAACCTCTGCTGCAGCTGCACATCTGGATCAAAGTGAAACAGCTGGCAGCTTGTCCAGGACCTGACACCTCTCCTCCAGCTCCAGCCGGGGGGCAAGCTGCCTCACCCAGAGGTGCTTACGTGATGCTTCCAGTTAGCACAACCCAGAAGATCGATTAATATCCAGTTTCTCCTTTTTTTTTTTTTTTTTTTTTTTTTTGAGGTTGTTTCTTGAGTCAAACATCCTGCAGCCGAATAGCTTTCCCCCCAGTTTAACAGCTTTCTCCCCACATTAATAGCTTCCCCTCCCAGTTTAACAGCTTTCTCCCCAGTTTAACAGCTTTTCCTCCGATCTAATAGTTTTTTTGGCTCTTTCTGGTGTAACTCAGATCCCTTCTCAACCTCTTTTTCTGAAGATTCAACCAAACCACGCTCATTTTCTTCTCCTTTCAGGGAGAGGAGCTCTGCCGCGGCGTTGTTCTGCTTCACGCCACTGGAGCTGCACTTTTTGATGGCAATAAAACCTTTTCCTTCACCGATTTGGTTCCTGTGTCCTCACATACGGTCACGTCCCACCTGTGTCCCCTCCTTGCTGCCATCGAGGCGTTTTTCCTAATTTTGGGGGGATTTTGCAGCAGTTCCCAGCCGCTTGGTTGGTATCGAATGTGACACAAAGGTGACGTTATTAAGGAGGGATCGAGCGAGAAACCTGATTCCTTTAGAAAATGGCAACTGCACCCACAATCCTCCCAAGGCAAAAAAAAAAAAAAAAAATCAGCATTTAAGGGAATGAACTGCCTGAAATCATGGAAATGGGGAATGGTTGGATTTTTAATGGTAGAGAACGAGAGGAGAGCAGAAAACTTCACTGCAGAGGTAATTAAAAAAGCACAACCAAGAAGGTACCGGTGCTTATTTTCTTTCTAGGTGTTTTGGGGAGAAAAGTGATATTTTGAAGCTGTGCTTTTCCCTTCCTATTCATCAGAAGAGACGCTACTAAACAAGAGTTTAAAGAAGCAAACTGGGTTGAGTCTGCCCAGTCCCTGAATCGCTTTCACTGCAAAAAGTAGCTTTTTTTTTTTTTTTTAACCATTATCCACCACGGTAGTGTTTTGTTTTGGGTTTTTTTAATGTTCTTTCAGGACTACGTGGCCTTTAGGCTGGAAAAATAAAAAGAGAGAGGCTGGTGCTCATGGCAGGCTGCGAGCACACGCGTCCTTACCTGCAGTTTCCGTGCCATGGCCACCACCTCGTGATCAGCGGGGTTGTACTTGTAGCAATTGGAGAACATCAATCGCACATCCGCTGCGAATTCCTGAGCATCTCGGTATTCCCGGTTCTCCAGTTTAGACTAGAAAGGAGAGGGGAAAAAAAAAAAAACAACCAAAAAAAACCAACCACCTAACAAAACTCTCTGCTATTAACAGCACCAATACACCAAATGGATCGATTGAATAAATACAGCTCCGGGGCGCCCACAGATTTCACGTGATTGTTTTTCTCCCTACGACTAATTTTGGCCAAAAGACTGACTAATTTTGGTCAAAAAGAGGATTGTGGGTGGTTTATAAAAAAAACCAGAGCTGCCTACAGGCATCCTCAAGGATGTTCCAAGGAAGACAAGGTGCTCTCCAAGCCACCTTCTCATTGCCTACGTGGTTGTGGTTTGGCTGAAGAACCTGAGGGGTTGCAGAGTGGTGTCCAAAGCCCCGGTATGAAGCCCGGGTCTACCTGCCCTCAACCAAGAAGGGTGAGACCTCCCTGCACGCCCGAGATGATGTGTTAGCAGGAGAACACAGCGAGCTTTGCTCAGATGGTTCCTCTAGAAGGAAGATCTCAAGAGTCACGTTGGTGGCGTAGCCTGGTTGGAGGGACGGAGGACACCAGGATGGTCCTTCACCCAACAGTGGAAGAAGGTGACAGGCTTTTGTTGATGCAGGGGGCAGGATTCAACCGTCTCACCTGCTTTCAACCATCCACCCTTCCTCCAGGAACCAAACTGGTGTCTCTAAAGCTCAGACCTCCAGCCCAGGAGGGCACAGACCTGCTCTACTGCTGCGTGCTCCCACCCTGAGCCTCACCCCTCCGAACGCTGCATCCAGCTGTGGCAAGGCCAGCTGAGCCAAGAGAAGCTTCACGCTTCCTTCTCCCTGCCTGGGAAAATGGGAGTTGAGTTGGACAACTGGAAGACGCTCAACAGCTGTCCTGGCAACATCTGCCAAGGGTGATCTCAGACACGCAGCCCGGCCAGACAGTTGGGCAGCAAGATGTACAGGCAGCAACGGACGTGCAAGACCTAACGCTCATGGCTGGACAGCCCAGAGGAGAAAAGCCAAAGCCAAAAATTTAATCTGGTGTCCCCAGGGTTTGGTCCATCAAGATCCCACAGGTATAAAACACTGTGAGGAAGAACCATGATCCTTGTTGGCTTCAGCCCTGGCGTAACCTGGGCTGCAGGAAGGGAAAACTCACTCTCTGGTTTTAGAACGCAGGCCCAGAGTGGGCAAAAGCTGGAGTCAGAGCTGAGCTGGAGTCAGAGCACGCAAGTTCATCCCACAGCTAAAAAGTTAAGACTTCTAAAGAATAAATTAAAGTTTGAGAACTAACGAGTTAAAGATTTTTAAATAAGGAATTAAGGTTTCCTAGCTCAAGACAGACTTAAAATCATGAATTAACACTTTGTAACTAGAAAGTTAAAGACTTCTAAATAAGGAATTCAGGTTTCCTAGCTAAAAAGTTAAGACTTCTAAATCATGAATTAACATTTCAAGGGGAAACATGGATGACTCTGCAGTCGCTTTTTAAAATTAAACAACTCCAATAATGAAGTAAAGTTTCAAGGGGAAACGTGGATGAATTTGCAGTCGCCCTTTAAAATGAAGCGTTTTTAAACTCGAGGGAACTACCTGTGCTTAACAGCAGACTGATTTAGACAGACAACTTCAGAAAGACAGGCCTTTATTTGGAAAAGAATTGAAAATGGGGCTTTTTAAATCAAATCCCCTTATTCCTGTGATTTATGCTCTCTGGGGCCATCTCCTGGGCGAAAATAAAAAAGTGTAGATTTATACAGTAATGGAAATTTTCTATAAAAAACCCCCCGTGTGAGCGTTTCCTGAGAGCCCTTCTGGAAGGATGCCAGCTTGTTTGTTTTTCCCAAATGTCACGATACCAGCAAAAGGAGAAGAGGAGAGACCGAATGTACCAGAAAACCTACGGCCAAAATAAATCTGGCTGATGTCTGAAGATACCCGGTGCGCACGCGCGAGGGAGAAAAGAATTTTTTTCTTTTTTTCCGCTCAGCCCACCCCCCCCAACCTCCCCCTCCTATAAAGCTGAGCTTACTTTGATTGTGCTCAGATCCATGGGATGTTTAATGATATCGCAATAATCGTGCAGTCCCAGTGCTTCCACATCCACAGGTTTGTAGAAGGGCCAGGCGTAGGCAGCGTGTTTCTTGGCGAACATTTCTTTGATGATCCCGCTGCAGTATTTTAACTGCTCGGATATTTTGCTACTCTTTTCTACCACGTGTTGTTGTGAGTCTGGAACGTCCTTCTTTGGAGGCTTCACCGGGCGGCTGCTTTCCCGGCGTGGACCCAGCTTGGCGGATTTGGGTTCAGCGGGCAGCGATGACGAGTCATGAATTGGGTCAATGGTCGTTGGTGTCGTGGTGTCTGCTTTCCTCTTCACTCCTTTTTTTGTCTATAACCGAGCAAATAAAGCAAAATATTACTTTTGGCATCAGACTTTTGGCTTCAATCGAGTTGTGTTTCTCGTAGCGCTGACTTGGATTTGACAGGGCTAGTGACTCAAGCCTCATGGCAACGCTACAAGAAGGACATTGGAAGCCCTTCCAAAAATATTCAGATATTTTTGACCTGAACTCGACAGAAAAAACATGCAGATTATCTCTTGTACCAGCAAAGGTCAAGGGCATGAGTCACGTGGGCAAGTCAAGATTTTCTTCCTGAGTCATACAAAGCTCAAGGAAAGAAGGTTTTAAGAGGATGAAGGGGGTTTTCAATGCAAACCAAAAAATGGGTGGAAATTATCAATTCTAATTTAACCCATCTCAGACAGGGTCACTGCAGGTTCCTTTTCTCCTCAAGGGAGAGAAAGAAGCATTCTCAAACCATGAAGTCTTAAAGTTTTTAAGAACTTAAAACATGAAAAGTGTTTTCGAAACATGAAGTTTTTAAGAAGGTTTTTAAAGAGGATGAGGGGGGTTTGCGATGCAAACCTGGGTGGAAATCATCAATTCTAAATTAATCCATCCCAGAGAGGGTCACTGCAGGTTCCTTTTCTCCTCAAGGGAGAGAAAGAAGCATTCTCAAACCATGAATTTTTTGACCAAACCGCAGCCATTTGCCTTAAAATGAAACTTCAGTGGCAAAGCAAAAGGTGACCACTTGGCCAGCCACGGCGTTTCTACACCATTAAGATCATTTAATTAAGCCAATTAAGGAATGGCTCACCTTCACGGGCTGGGCGGGTGTCGGGATAACGGGAGGGTGAGGCTGGATGGGCTGGGGAGCTGGGGCCGGCGGCGCGGGGGCCTGGGGGGCAGGTGGAGGCGGTGCAGGAGGTTGAGGAGGCACCATCGTCATGACGGGGGCCTGGACGATGAGGTCGGGGGTGACGGAGGGGAAGGAATGAGTCGTCTGTGCAGACTGGAGGGTCTGCTGCGGCGCCTGCGTCTGCGCCGGGGACGAGCCTTGGGTTGCGTTTGGTACCGTGGATGATCCTGGTTTGGATGTCACTGCCAAGAGAAAAGAAAGAAAGGGTTGCTTCTCCCTTCAGACTCAGTTGTTCTAACATTAAAAAAAACCACAATTAATGTTTCGCAATAACATCGTGTAAAGAAACGTTCATTTGGTAATGAGCGTCCCCCTTCCACCTGCAAATGACCGCGGAGCGCTGATGTGTCCAAAGAAGGGGGAGACAGAGGGATCCTGGAGCCCTGCTGGGATCTGGTGGGTCCTGCTGGGATCCAGTGGGTCCTGCTGGGATCCTGTAGGTCCTGCTGGGATCCAGTGGGTCCTGCTGGGATCTCAGAGTCCTGCTGAGATCTCATGGTCCTGCTGGGATCTGGTGGCTCCTGCTGGGATATCATGGGTCTTGCTGGGATCCAGTGGGTCTTTCTGGGATCTCGTGGGTCCTGCTGGGATCCTGTGGGCCCTACTGGTATCTGGTGGCTCCTGCTGGGATCCAGTGGGTCCTGCTGGGATCTGGTGGGTCCTGATGGGATCCAGTGGGCCCTGCTGGGATCCTGGAGTCCTGCTGAGATCTCATGGTCCTGCTGCTATCTGATGGCTCCTGCTGGGATCTTGTGGGTCCTTCTGGGATCCAGTGGGTCCTGCTGGGATCTCATGGTCCTGCTGGTATCCAGTGGTTCCTGCTGGTATCCAGTGAGTCCTCCTAGGATCCTGTGGGTGTTGCTGGGATCCTGTGGGTCCTGCTGGGATCCTGTGGGCCCTACTGTGATCTGTAGGTCCTGCTGGTATCTTGTGGGTCCTTCTGGGATCCTGTGGGTCCTGCTGGTATCCAGTGGCTCCTGCTGGGATCCAGTGGCTCCTCCTAGGATCCTGTGGGTCCTGCTGGGATCCTGTGGGTCCTGCTGGGACCGTGCAGAAGCTCTGCATCGCTCAGGCAAAGCCGACACATTTTACCTCCCACCTTACAAGGCAGCATGAGGTTTCTATTAGAAACCCACGGAGGGGGGGGTTTGCAGCGAAGCTTTTCCAACCAGCATCACACCTGTTTTTTGATAATTTAACCCCAAATGGGCTATTATACGCTAAATTTAGCACACAACACGATTTAACAGGAGGTGTAGCAGACTAGAGGAAAATGATCTTGCAGATCCCCAAAGAGAGACTCTAGGCAATATACAGCTGTTTGTAAGCACCTCGCTACACCGGGTAGGTAAAAGATCTTCTCTACAAGTGATTCCATCCCTTCTCCCTCAGAGAGGTGCTGGGAAAAGTGACAGTCAGTAATTTTCGAACCAAGGAGAACTCCCTGCACACAGTAAAGGAAGAGCAGGGATAGTGCCTCAAAAAAATAACAGTTAAAAAAATAAACCTCGCAGCTGCAAGTAATGACAACTTGGTCACGTGTGGAAAAACCCACAAATTGGGTTTGTTGGTGCTTCAAAACCTGGATTTCAGGGAAGACGCAACGGCACAGAGAGAATAACCAGAGCTGTGCATGAAACCCACACGTGGACAGCAGCAGAGTCCTGTAACGGAGAGAGACGCAGGCAGCGAAAAGCTGCCACGGGAAGGGGAAAGAAAACAAAGGCAAAATAATTAGAGCAGTTTGAGATGTTTGGTTTTATGACGCTTCTTTTTTTTTTATTCCTTGGTGTTTTAGATGAAAAGATGTTCTGAAAATGGTATGGAAACCCTCTTCGTAGAAAGGTGACAACTGTCAGTAATAAATGGGGGGAGACTCGGGGGATTTAGTAAATCTTGCTGCTCTGAATTTGCACTCACTGTCCGAGTGGCAGCACGTGAAGGTTTTCTCTGCCAGCTGCTACTGAGGACGTTCAACAGCAACTACCCGAGTCCCATTTCTTCTCTATCTCCCCCCACAACTGGTCCCCAAACCCTTTGAGGGTTGATCTTCAAGCTCCCTGGACAACTCCTGCTGATTTTCAAGTAAACCTTGAATAAAAATAACCTGTCAGGATCCCAGCACCACCAGTCTGAGGCTGAGAGGAGAAGAGACACGAGGATTCAAAGGCTGCAGGATGCTGGCACCTGCTCGCAGGCAGGAAATATGGTCAAAGCAGCTTTTTTGGGGTGACACAAGCTCGGGGGGGCTCCTGCACGTGATGTTTTCCTTGGTCTCGCACAGCGTTTGGGTTAAAAAAGAATGAGAATGATACAAGCTCCGAGGTGAGAGCTGTTTAAATTGAAGAAATCTGGAAAATGATGAGGTGCCGCTGAGATCAAGTCCCAGCTGGGATGTTCTCTATCCCTCAAAGAACCATCTGATGGTGTCAGCGGGTGACACTGAGCCTGGCAAATGGGTGATATCCCCCCAAAATGAGCTAATAAAATCCTTGAGGCACAAACAGGGGAATCAAAAGGCTGTTTTCCCTCCAGTAGCAGTCACATCTCTGTCCCCTTACAGTGTCTGCAGTTATGGATGTGAAAAACTGGAGAAGGGTCACAGAAGAGCTGTAAAGAACCAGAAGATTGGAAAAAAATTCCTCGTGGCAAAAAAAAAAATCCGATTCTTAACGGAGAACCCAGATTCACAACCAGCCTTCAACATAACCAAGTTATTTAAAGAGGAGATGGTGCTGCAGAGCTCAGACCAGAGATCTGTCAGGAAAATCCCCAACCTGGCAGCTGGCTGGCGTGCTCCTGCTCGGAAATGCCAGCAGAGATTTTTTTTTTTTTTTCATTTTACTCTATATTAAAGGTTTTCCTATGAGACAGACTGCAAATAAATTAATGGGTGGTTGAACTTTTGTATTATGTAGTAACGAGAGGATTGCATTACATGAGCAAAATGGCACCTTTGGATCTTGTAAATTATTAACCTGGGAGCAAAGTTTCCAGAAAAAAAGAAAAATAAAAATCCATCACTACATAAAGTCTTGGAGCAACAGACACAAATACACAATGTTGTTTTACTGATTTATAACCTTAGATGTGGTTTAAAATGCTGCGGTTCGACTTTACACAGCCTAAAGCGTGCAGGTTAAGTATTTCAGCTCTGAAAAAAGAGCAAGAAAAGGGAAATTCATCAGTCTAGATGCCAAAAAAAAAAAAAAAAAAAAAAAAAAAAAAAAAAAAAAA